CTAAAGATCATGATGGATAAAACTGCTGCCACTGGAAGTCAGAAAATCCATCTGACTTATGAGAATTAAAGTTAAAGGTAGAATGTGTTTGAGAAGAGAAAATATCTGAAGAAAAATACATGCTATCTGGTGTTTCACAGTTTGATAAAAGATTGAAAGTTTATTCAACCATGAATTAGAAACAATTTATTTGTATGCACCCCAAAATTAAATGCAATGGCCAAAAATCCTATTTATTTTAATTATCCCAAGTCTTGCTTTTGAGGCAATACATTTTCAGAATGCTGTTTCAGCCTTGTGGTGAACACACACACATTTAATTTTTTAGAGAAAACTGTCTGGAAAATGCTTTCATACAGACTCCACTTTGCTTTTAGAGAGTGAAATACATTTCTAAGCCTTTTCTTGCTTGTTGAGCTACATTGAACAACTACATTTTTCTTTTTAGTGAAGTTACTCTCATATTTTAAAAATGGCCCTTCTATTTTAGGACTGTGTTCATTGAAAAACATATATATTCTATTTGTAGTTTGTGTTTAGTAATAGGTCAAAGCCTCTGGGGTTTCACACTTGAATGAATTACATCCTGGGGAATCCTGTGTACTGAGAAAGCCAGAGTAATTAACATAATCAAACATGTCTCAGTAAAACCAGTATCTAAAACTACAGTGATGTCATATCCCATCACAACACCCTCTTTAAATGCTAGAATGTACAAACTGGCATACATACTTGAGGTCTTTACTCCTTACCATTATGATATGTGTGGTTTTCAGCTGTTAGTTTGGAAGCCAGCCTTATAAGAAAGTAATGAACTCTAACTCTGCAGCTGAATATATCATTATAAAGCATTTGGGGTTTATAGGTTCACATGTTTTAGTATTGGAGCCATGGCTGACTTGAACTGAATCTCAAGGGCATCAGACTTTACCCAGTGGCTTCTGGACCAAACCCAGAATATACAACTGACCAAGCTCTAAAGACTTCATCATCTTTCAAGAAAGGTGATCAGTTTTGCTCCCTTTTTAGGTATTTCAATGATTTAATTGCTTCAAAGTAAGATTATTATTCTTCTATTCTGTATTCATCTTTTATCTGGTTCCAGACTTGCCAATTTACTACCTCTAATTATTTCAGATTTTAAATTTTTTCCTTGACTTCACAATTTCATTTGCTTCATGCAGGTGTCTGAAGACCTTTCAGCTTTTTACAAGATGAAGTTTAATCTTATATTAAAAAAGTATTCCAAGCTGTAACATTCTTGTAGTTCTTTTCATAAACATTTGAATTTTGTTGGCAGCCTTTTTACAGGATGATTAAACATACTGAACCATATTGTGTTTATGATTGGGCATACTAAAATGATAATAATAACTTCTCATGCCTACAACTATGATTAAATTGTCTTAACAATCCAGAATAATGCTATCACACCAAAAAGCACATTAATTATTCCTTCTACCCATATATGCACTTCAGTTCCTCTGTGCCAATAACTTGAAGTAGCTACATTATCTTGCATTCAGTTGTATAAATTGTGTGTTAATAAACTGAGGTAGACTATAATATTGACCCATCCTATTTCTTGTTGTCCTAATATACAAAGTTTTTCAAGCAACCCCATTTTTGGAACAACAACAATAAAAAATATTTTAATGATTCTCATTAGGAGCATCTTCTTCCAGCAGTCTTAAACCACTTTTGCCTCACAGGCTACTGTGAACACTTGAAGTACATTCCTGGTGAACACTTCTCAAGCTTATAAACACAAGTGATTTACTTTCATATGTACCTAAATCATGGTTGAACCAGGGATGTAGTAGCTATCCAGCCTGCTGGTTAAGAGGAGAATTAGATATTGACTTCAGAATATTTTGGTAAAAACTTTTTTTCAACATACTGATGTTTTCCATTTGTAAAGAATGTACTTCAATTCACTTCTAATACTACTGAAAATAAATGAAGCGGCTCATTTATTTTTTAGTAAATATGCTGAGTTTTGTATGCGTGTGACACACTCCAGCTACCATGTTTTGAATGATGAGAAATATTACTTGATTTTTTTAATATAAATAAACAACATTAATATTTGAGACGGAAGTTCTGATTTCTGGATTCTGGTTTTAAAATAGATGTTCAAACAAATCTCATTTTTCAATCTACTGTAACTGCCAGAAGTATCAAAAGATACCATAACGATCTTCTAAAGATGGGACATAGCCATTAGTTTAGCTTCATATAATAAGGAGGTAAGTCTACCAGTAATGATATGGAAAGACTAAAAAGGTGGCAATTAAAACAATATAGTAAAATTAAAAGAATAGGAAATATTTTATCAAAGTTTGAAGTCTACAGTAGTGTTTTGTTGAATTGGAACCTTTTATATATCAAGGTGCATTGTTTTAATTCACTCAGAAGAAAATATTTTAATATTCAACACTACCAGCAGAAAAGTTTGAAAACAGTCTCACTTAGCAGAATAAAATATTGCAACAATAAACTGGCTACCTAAAGCATAAGTAAGCATATATATTTCCCACAAGGATTTTGAGAAGCTTGAACTCTGCATATCTAAAGTATAGCCTGCATTTATAATTAATAGAACTGTTCCTATTGGAGACATGGAGAGTTCGTGATGGCAGTTTCAACTAATAGCACCTTGAAAAAATGCATATGCCTCAGTGCAAATAAATTAAATTAGAACAATTCACTGTTGAAGTACATAATGCACAAAGATAAATAGCTCCTGGAGAAGCAGCCTCACTGCCTACTCATTTTGAGAGAAAAGAGAGGAATCAACTCTTCTAAATACAGAAAGAAAGTACTCCACTGGTTCTGCAGAGCACCTGCATTGACAGACTGTCCCTGAGCAAATAGAGGGATTTGTTAGTTTGTTTGCCATTGTGTTTTCAGTTGAAGGAGTAAACAAGTTTCTTTCATTATCATTGTTGACATTTAGGGCTACAGAGAGAAAAAATACCCAAAAGGATCAACTTTTTGCAAAGTGGATCTAGAAACCTAGAGTATCCCTTCATTTATGTAACCCCTACTAATTAAAAAAGTTCAGGGAATGGAGGAAAATTTGTTAGTGATGTTCTGGTGCATTCTTTGCCATACTCTTGATAGGTATCAACAAAGAAATCCCAGCTGGCTCTAAAATGTGTGGTAGGCATTAATATTTAGTGATGCCTGCTTGGAACAACCTTGAAGAGGAGCTAAAAAAAAGAACAGCAATATTGTAAAAGTGGACAATATAAAGTAAGAACTGTGGTGAAAGTCACACGTGGGATATTTTTTGAAATTAAAAAAAAAAAAAGACAATATACCTGCAGGTGGAACATGTGATTACTTTCAAGGTTTCTAATGAAATGCCTTCTTTCTAACTCACACCTATCTTTGGATATAAGGAATGCATAAAATCCCTGTTTCATATTTCTTTTCTTCATCTCCTCTACCTGATGACCTTATAATTGGGGTTTTTTCTGTGTTAAAAGTTTTTCTCTATTTCACTTTCTCTCTTTCAATCTTCCTTTTTCTGTAATGAATGTATTATACTTCCCTCAAATTTCAGTTTCTTTCTGTTTGCTTCATGTTCTTTATTTTGTTGAACCTTTGCCTTTTTCCACATCTGCTTCCATCTTTGGCCTTCAAGTTTTCTATGGCTTTTTAATAGTTTTAATAAGAGTCTGGCATGAGATAACCCTGTGGGCTGTGCATTTGTTGCAGCTGCACAAGTATTGGGGCTGCCATCTGACTGTTAGTGTTTCCTGTTTAGTGGCTACAGGAAAAAACAGCAGGCACATCATACTGAGGCAGTCGAGGAGAGGGTGAGAGGCCCAGTCAGATGCTGTTCAGAAATGCAGAGCTGTGTCCTGAACTGGTCCTCCCAGATTTCTCTTTCCACTGGGTCTCTCTGGCATGACGTGGCTGTTTAAAGGACATTGTCTTTTAGATTCACAGACCAGCCCTACTTTACAATCTCATACATATTCTCCCCTTCTGCCTTTCTCCAGGTGTAGTCCTTCATGACAAATCCTTCATATTACTTTCTTGACAAACCATACAGATTACTAAAAGAATTTCTCAAACAATATTTCTCAGTATCAACTCATAAAACCTTCCCCTTGCTAAGGAAAGCTGAACCTGGTTTGCCTGAAATGTTTGGTTTCTCAGACAATAAATGTAATCATGTCACTTCGCTACTGCCACCTGTACTCATAACATGGTTCTCTGTCCCCCCTGTTCTCATTAATAACTTTCTGGTTTCCCTATTAAGATGTTCTTTCCCATAATCCCTTCCACTCTCCTTCCAGTCAAACTTTCAGACTCTTTGGGTTTCCCTATTAGCCCACCCTATAGTTCTAGATCTTCTCTCTTTTCTGAAAAGTCAAATAGAACAGGATATACTTTTTCTGTGTCAATCAGCGCTGTATTTTAAAAGAGGCTGAAATACAGAGATGGGTTTTTCACACCCCCTCAGCCATTTCCTAAGTAAAATCCTACCCCCAGACCTACAGGCAAAGCAGAGGCGCCCCTCTTTGCCCAGTCTTTTCCGAAACCTTTTCCGAAACCCGAGGTTCAGTGAGTTCACCCGGCCTGTCTGACGGCAGCTACCCCGTGTAGGCATCGACTCGGCGGCTCGGTCCCCGCGGCAGGGACGGCGCTGGGGCAGGAGTCGTTCTGAGCCCCGCCAGCCCCGGCGGAGCGTCCCCTGAGCCCAGTCCCGCCCCGCGCCCCCGCGCCGGCCGCGCTCTCGGGGGCGGCCTCAGCCGGCCCGGCCCAGCCTCCCGCCCGCCCCGCCGCCTGCCGCGCCGCGCCCCGTGCCCGGGATGCGTCCGGCGGCCGAGAGCCGGCTGCTGCCAGGAGCCGGGGGCAGCCAGGCGGGCACGGGGGCTCCCGCCGCCCCGGCGGCTGGGATCAGCTCCCGCTGGGCTGCGATGCGCAGCGGCGGGGCGGGCGCGGCGGGGCCCAGCGGGAGGGCGCCCCGGCGCTGAGGCGGGCGGCGGGCGAGGAGCGGCCGGAGCTCTCCAGGGTGCTGGGCTGCTGCCCGCCCGCGGAGCCCCTCCGATGCCTCCGACACCGCCGCTCCCGGGCTCCGCCGCCTCTGCGAGCAGCATGGCTCGGATTCGGTACCTCCGCGCCGCTGTCTCGGGGTTTTATCTGTGGGAAGCTGCGGTCCTGCTCAGGTGAGTTGCTTTCTTTGGGGACCTAGAGGTGTCCCCCTTCCCGGGTGTCGGGCAGCTGAAGTGCCTGGGACGGGTGCGGACAGCATCCGCAGTCACCGCCTTTCCTCCCCACGAACGCCCGGCTGCCTTCGGCAGCCAGGCTGTGGGCACAGAAACTAAATGCGTGAGCTCCACGCTTCCTGAACGGCTTCATAACACTGCACTGTCCCGAATCCCATTTTGAATTTTACTAGCAGGAGGTTGTGTACTTCCTTCACTTGCTCGCAGATAGTTTCCCTCTAAGATCTGTGAATTTTATAATTGCTTTTAGCAGGAATTGTAACATCAACAATATTGAAAATTCCTAAGGTGCAAAGTGTCTATATGTAAAAGTTACGGAAGATGATCTCAGTTGGGAATATAGAGACTTCTTTATTACTGTCAGTTCTTTTCAGCAAAATGAAAATCACAGATTGCCTAAGGTCAGAAGTCTTGTGCAGAAACACTAGCTGAGTGTTTCTGAGAGGATATGGTCTACAGAAGTTCCCTTAAGAGGGAAAGCATTTGCTGTGCTACTGACAGTCTACGATTTGTATTATGAAAGATGGCAACATATCCATAAATTATGACCTGAGTAGAAGACTGAGGTTCGTACGGCTTTCTCAGCCCAGCACACTCTTTTTAGGTAATATGATGTTACTGTATCAATGTAAGCTTTCTTTTAATACATAGCTCTGGAAGTGTGGTGATACCAGGCTAAAATGAACGTAGAAAGTTCATTTTAGAACTGGTATCACCACACTTCCAGAGAAAGAGACTTCAATGTCTTTTATTCACTGCTGATGCAGTTAGTCATGCTTGTTATCAACAAACATTCTAGCCCTGTATCACAATAAACAAACTATGGCATATAACATGACAGTGCCAGACTATTTTAAGAATCACATTGTTATTTAACAGACAAAAATCGAAACTTAAATTTGAAAAGAGAGTTTGGGGATTATACATGTAAGGGATTTCTAACCATGAAGTTAAGCCAGCAGCATGTATTCCCTACAATGATGGCACACTTCACAAGTGCTCACAGGTATATAGCAAATCTTTCCATTTTGAAGTTAATTTAATGTCAACATAAGTAACATAAATATTTCATAATGCAATTTTATTGTAATTGTGCCAAAAGAAAGAGATTTTAAGAAACTTGATCACATGGTATGAGATTGATACTGTGAGGAAAGAGTCAATGCATGTATATTACACTTTAAATCTTGCAGTGAGTATTTAATGTTCAGTGTAGGTGACCAAACACTTGCGTAGTGTATGCAATAAAAGCAGTACTATGCTATTTTTATTCTATTTCAATGTACTCATGGAACTTATTTCTCCTCTGCATATCATTCCATGCAAATGGTTGAATTGTTCATCCTTTATTTTAACAACGTAAAAACATTTATTCCAAAGGGGAAAAAAGCTATAAAGTCAGTTATGAAAGTCATAGAGGTATTTTTCATCACATAAATCTGTACCAATACTGAATTGTTTCCAAACATATGCAGATATCTTATGTAGCATAAATTCAAACTATTCTCTTCAACATTCGGATAACTGTGGTATTGTAATAACATTTTGCTTATAAATAGTCACTTTATGATAATGAACATGGTTACTGTGCACATGGACTATATAGTTGGAGAAAGAGTTCAGAAAGCTGCTCAAAGTCCATGTTTATCTTCCATATCAATCTCCAGATAGAGACTGCTGGTGACTTTAGGTCTAGAAATAATACATGGGAAATCTGAGCCAGTTCAAAACACATAGGAGTCTTCTCCAAACTTTGAAAATGGAAAAAAAAAGTGAAAAAAAAAAAGTAAAATGTGAAAATATGTAAAATTCTCAGCTTTGCTTTCCTAGAGCCATTAATTCTATTTATTTTCCAACTTAAGCCTTGTGAAATGATTCCCATTGGAGCAAAGGGAGCAGGGAATAGTAGAATGCTGCTCCTACTCTCTGTTAGACACAGACTCCAGCCTTAGAACCTGTATAACACTTGATGGGAAGGTGGGTGTGCTATGGATTTCTAGGAACAGTCAAAGAGGTTTATTTACTCACACACTTTGGAAGAAATGATGTTATCTTCTTTTACATTGTGCAACTTTGAAACTTTTCTGCTCTTCATTAGGAAACTAAAGGCTGTGTGAGAAAACTGAATGAAACTAACAAGAAAAGCCTTCATTACTTGTCCAACAGCCCTGAGGCTATTTAATGTTTAAATTGCATGCCTGTGAAGATAAGAAGAAAAGATGGTTTTCAGTGTAAATTTGGACTGGCTATTTTAATGAGCAAAGTCTCAAGATGCATGCTTAACAAGAAGAAACTTCACCTGATTTATTTTTTTTTTAATAACTCATTCTTCATTCCACATCAAAAGATACTTCAAATTGCAATGACTGAAACAAGATGTATATTGGTCATTATTTGGTCTAATTATTTGGTCTCTGAAAGATGTAGGAAAAAAATTAAAAGAGCAATGAAGGTGGGAAAGGGTCTAGAGAGCAAGTCTTGTGAGGAACATCTGAGAGAGTGGGGTTATTTAATCTGGAGAAAAGGAGACTCAGGGGGGACCTTATTGCTTTCCACAACTCCCAGAAAGGAGGGTGCAGCCAGGTAGGGATCAGCCCGTTCCCCCAGGCAACAACTGACAGGACAGGGGGAAATGGCCTCAAGCTGTGCCAGGGAAGATCCACACTGGATATCAGGAAGAATTTGTTCTTGGAGAGAGTGTTCAAGCACTGGAATGGGCTGCCCAGGTGGGTGATGGAGCCACCATCCCTGTAGGTGCTCAAGAAATGACTAGATGTGGCACTTAGAGCTGTGGTTAGGTTGAGAAGGTGGTGTTCAGTCAAAGGCTGTACTTCGTGATCTTGAGTTCTTTTCCAACCTTAACGATTTCATGATTATCCATAGTCTTTCATAGTCCTGTGCATGTTTGTGCTGTTGTATCATACAGTACAAACATGTATGATACAGTACAATACAGTACATACACACACATATTGGTAATGTATTAATATATTTTAAACCTGAAAAACAATGGTTAAAGCACATTCATGTGCTTTAACACAATGGTTAAAGCACTCTTCTTTATGCAATATATTTGAGGATAGAGAGAAAATCTATTATCAGACCCAAAAAAACTCTTACTTATTAATATTGCTGCCAGTCTGAGCCTGAGTGTGATACTAAGAGGGTCCGGGTGTAAAAAAGAGGCAAAATCTAGGGAAAATAATGTAATATAGCCTTGAAATAATTGCAGTTTACTACCAAAGAAAGAAAAAAATTCTGAGATATAGTTTGAAGTTATAATAATGTCTAAGACTGAGTATTCTCCTCAGTTTTCAATAAAGTAATAGTGTTAACAAAAATTCCTCTGGATTTGCCTGAATTCCAAAAGGTCATGATGAAAGCAAGATCATATTTGTAGAGTAAATGCAAAGATCAGATTTGTGAGTCAAAAAGCTCAGGAACTTTCATGGACACCAGCACTGACCTATTAGAGCTATGCTGTCGGGGACTTGAAGGTATTTGCTTTTTTTTTGGAGGATGTAATGTATCTATTTTATATGTAGACCTGTGTATGAGGAAAGAACAGGATGAAAAGGTAGATTGCATTGGGGAAATGCAAAATAGATTCTCCCTATGTGGTATTTCTTTATTTATCTACATTAGCATAGATTAGGAATCATGTTACAATTAGACTCTTGCCTCTTTCCTTGTTCTTTTCAGTACTCCATTCAACTTACATTAAAGAAAACAGTATCATAGACACAGATAATTGCTCTTAAAAAACAGATTTTTGTGGGAAAAAACCTCCATGCAACCTAACTTTGGGGCATATCTGAGTTTAAGGTTAACTGATTTTGAAATTGTTCTTGCATTTCATTGCAAATTGATTTCAGGTGAATAGTTTTAAGAGGCAGAAGTCATTATCCTTTAGGCCAGTATTAGTTCCTTCAAATAATGAAAAAGAAAAAATACAACAGCTAAAAACTATTAATTCTGACATAGCATCACAAACATCTTTGAAAATTAAGATTTTCAGGTGCTTTAATGAAGCTTCAATAGCTTATTAATATGTTAATAATTAGACCTACAATGCTACTCAAGAAATAAAAGTGTCCAAATCAAGATGTGAATAAAAGTTTGTAAAAGAAAATCTACTAAAGCAAGATGACAGCACTGAGGCACAATGCCTTTCCTTGGCAGCCCAGACTTAATATGAAAGTTAGTTTCTGTGAAATAAATCAGGTGACAGACTCCAGGTCCCATGAAAAGCACTTAGCACATCTCAGGGAGTAGCAAAGGAAGGGTAGACGAGCTGGGAGCTCAGACTTACAGCAACGCAGGAAGGAACAGGATTCTGCCATAAAAGTTTGCAGTCCCACAGCACTTGAGCAGGAGAACAGTTCAAAAGTTCAAATTGATGGGCAAAGGTGGTACTGAAGAGGTATGCCCAAGGTCAAAGCCAAAGGGTCAGGTCAGCAGGTCAGGCTCACGATGGAAATGATGAAGGTACGAGACTGGGTGAAAGCATGCTTGCATACTAGCTCGTGCAGAGACCACAGGAATCTCCCCAGCACTTCTGAGGGTGAGAAAAAAAGGAAAAGCAAACACAAGTCCTCAGAGAAGAGAGGTGAAGCCCTGCTGAGGGTTCTACAAAACAAACCTCTCTGTTTCAAAGCTGAGTTACCAGAGCTCACACTGACCGAGCCCAGTCCAATTCCTGTGATGAAGGATCCTTCCAAAATCTAGAAGAGCATCAGTACTGTTAGGGAAGCAATGCATTTTCCTAAACTCAGACAAAAGTGACAAAAAGGGGTTTTGTAACCCCTTATTTGAATATGTAATTCAAATGTTTTTGTATATCAGCTCTACCAATTTCTCTTCTATTTCATCCATACCACTGAAGACACTGAGATCCTTTTGTACCAAACAGGTACAATTTTTCCTTTACATGAGTAAAA